GATCATGCCCATTCCCCTGCGTCCAGGTGGGAGCACCCTCCCTCGTCCCAGACTGTGGAGGGGAAGGCCATTTGTTTAAAAAATGGTGCTATCAGAGCTCTGCCCATGAGAGGAGACCTTTTGGCTTCTTGTCCTCTTCCCGCTCTGGCTAGAAGTCCTTGCTAAAATCCAACCCAGTGCTTTCTGCTGCTCCGGTACTTTTAGCCCTGTTCTCAGTAGAGATGAGGGCGATAGATGTCCTTTCTAGGTGTATGTTTGTGTCTTGTCCCCTCCCCACCTTTTCTTCTCTGGCAGAGTCACCCTGGCTTCCCCAGCGCTTCCCTCCAGCTCTGTCCTCATCTCTGCCCTGCTTCATTTCCCCACCCCAGGCCTGAGGGAGCTGGACTGGGCGGAGGAGTGGCCCTGGGCTAGAGCAGTGGGAGAAGGAGGTGGTGACCACAGCCACCTGCCCTCCGGTCATCGGTCCCAGCACACGCCTCACATGGGGATGCCTGCATCTGTGTCCAAGGCCTTATTTACCTGAGCTGGTCCTCTGAGTGGGGCAGCGGGAAAGGGTCCAGGCTTGGTCTGCATTTTGGCCAACACCAATCTCCCTCCGCCCATACCTCCCATACCACCCCAGGGCTTTGCTCCTTCTGCCTGTTGCCAGGTTCTGAGTGTATTTTTTCCAGAGGCCTCCGATTGTTTCCTGAAGAAACCCGATCCCAGAGCTCAGACAAAAGCTGGGGCCGCCAGAGGAGAAACCCCATTCTCTCCCCCTCTGTCCCTAACCCCCCCACCTCTATAACCTCCCTCGCTTTGGATGTCGGGTATGGGTTCCAGGACCTGGCTGCCATCACCTAGGCAACAGGGGGCTTTGGTTGCCATGGTGATCAATGTGGTAGAAGCTGGGCAGCCGGGACAAAAGCCCCCACATTCCCCCCCCAACCCTCCCCCCAATCCCCTTGGGATGATACTGAGACACATTCCATTAATTTTATTTCTGAAAGGCCTTTGGAGGGGAGAAGGGTCTCCTTTTTGTGACGGGCTCTCTCTTCTCTCCCTCTCTCCTCTCTGGCCTCCTTTTAACCCCAGATAATCCATGCTTAGTTTGAGCAGGGGACTGAGTGAGTGTGTTTGTGTGTCTTAGACGGTGGGGGCAAGGTGAAAAGTAATGGGACGTGTTCCATTTACAGCGTCCCACCCCCCAAACCAGGGCACTCCCTGCCCTGCACCGAGTCCGGACTTCCCTCCCCGTCTCGTCATGCCTCTGACATTTCCACTTGTTGATCTCATCCACTGATTCCCCTCCCCCACTCTCTTCCCTGGGAACGCTGCCCACCTGGGAGACCCTCCAAACCCCTGATTGCCGAGACCGATTCAACAAGGGAACTTCTGCCCTTCTCCTTGCTTACCTCCCATCCCTCCCCCGAGCCTTGCCCATGCTTGGATTCGTTCCCTGGGGTACTTGAAGGGATAGCAGGCAAGGGTCTCAGAAATTGGATTCATATTTGGCCCCTCTGTTTGGTAGGGCATGGAGGGAGGAGCATGCTGTGGCGCTTTGCGGGCACTCTGAGTTGCGCTGGTCGTGGTGGGAGAAGCAGTCCAGGGGAACAGCGAAGGTCCGTGGGTCTTTGCTAAGCAGCAGGGAAGAAGGTAGGGGGCTCTAGGCTGAACAGCTCAGAACAAAGGGTTGGGAGGGGACTGGCACCCTTGTCTGGCTTAAAATTTATCTGTAGGAGAAACAATGGCATCAGCTTCCCTCCTGGGTGTGTTTGAAGTGGTGGTCTGGTCTGGAGTGCATGTGCGTGTGTGTGTGTGTGTGTGTGTGTATGTGAATGAGTGTGACTTCTTAATTTAGTCATAGGAACAGCAGGATTTATTTATACTAGCTCTTTCCCAAGTCTCAGAGGAAGTGTCTGGGGATTGGAGCATGAGTGATCCTGGAGCCAGAGCCTATTAATTGCTTAACTAATTACTAGCTGAGCCGTTTATGAAAGCACTTCTTTCACACCCATGATCCTCACAGCAACCCCATGAAGTATGTATCATTATTTTCCCTATTTTCCCGATGACCCTACCAGGCTACAAAGCGCAGAGAAGTTAAGTAACTTGCCTGTGGTTGCACAGTGAGTCAGTGGGAGAGTTAGGTTTTGAACCCTGATCCTTGGGTGCAAACCACAGGCTCTTTTTGCTGTTGGTTCTGGCAGATATAAGTATGCAGGCTGCGGAGAGTCTGAGTTCTGGTGTCTCTGTCTAGACCTCAACCCATGGCAGTCCTTTTCCTCTTTACTTCTCCACCCCCCTCACTCTTTAACCCACTTGCTGTCTTTGAACCTGCCTGTGAAATTCAGTTTTTAGAACTAGAAAGAATAGGCTGAACCACAGCAAGAGAGATTCAGGTGAGATGTGTAAACTGTACTGAGGACTAAACCAGTAGGATGAGTTCTCAGGAGACAGGGCGGAGGAGCCCACTGTGTGATTTGCAGACAGGGTGATGAACAAGGGCCCTGTGTATGGCAAAGGGTTTGAGGAAGGTTTAGTGTTGGGTTAAGGTATTATGTCTCCATCACACTAAGTGTGTCTCTGTCACACACTTATCTTGACATGGGGATATTGACAAACATCACTAGGCCATGGAGTGCCTCCAAATCACTGTTAGGTGGATAAATGAGTGGATTTAGCATCGATTTCATCTCCCAGCAGTCGTCGTGGTTTCCTGAGAGTCAGAGAGGTGTGCTCATTTACTAGGTGGGGCTCAGTTACTTGCTGTGCGCCCACGGGCGGGTGATAGATACAAATATGTATCAGTCGTATTTCTTATCCTCAAGTTGCTGATGGTTTAGTTTAGCTGGAGAAAAGATAACAACTACACAAAGCAAACCCATTTTAGTTCTGAACATAATTGACATCTTGGCAGCACTTGACCTGCTGATTTTCTTCCCACCTTGAAACACTCTTGAGTTTTTGGCTGCCCGAGAGCCCGCTCTTCTGGCCTTCCTACTCCTCCAGCCTCACCTCCTCGGCCCTTTTGCCTGCTCCTTTTACATGTTGGGGTTCTCCGGGACCCCTTATTTAATTCTCTCCCTAGGTGATCCCATCCATTCCCTTGACCTTGCACACTGTCCATTTCTCCAGCTCAGGCTCTCTTCTGAGCCCAGCTCCTCTGACCCCCAGCTGCCTGCTCAAGGGCCTGTCTCACGGCTGTGAACTCAGCACGCTGGACGCTGAACTCATTGGCTTCCTCCCCAAGCTGGCTTCCTCCCAGGCTTCCCTACCTTATAATGGCACTCCCATCCACTCTCTTGCTCAAGCCTGAGATCTTGACGGTCCCCTCCCCCTCAGCCGGTCCTCCTTAGATCCTGTTGCTCCTACCACCAACAGGTCTCAAACTGGGCTGCTTCTCGCCTCCTCTGCCCCATCCGAGCCTTCAGATTGCAGTCATCTCCTGACTCATCTCCCTGTTTCTGCTTTCCCCTCTTGCCAATCCATATCTGCATAGTTGAAATCCTCTGCAGCCTTCCCATTACCCTCAGAATAAAAGCTAGCCTCTTCGCTGGCCCCCGGGACCTTGCAATAACCTGGCCCCTGGCTGCCTCTTCAGCTTCACCTCCCACACCCCCTCCCCTCCTCTGCTCTGGCTCCACTGGCCTTTTTTGGTTCTTTAAATACACCGAGCTCTCTGCTGCCTTTGGCCTTCCCCTGTGTCATTCTCTGCTCCACAAGCTTTCCCCTCCACTCTCCCTAGTTATCTCCTGCTCTTCCTTCAGGCTTGGGTGTCATTTTCTCAGACTTTCCAGAACCATCTAGTTTCAAGTAGCCCCTGCCCCCCGTAGTGTCTCTCATAGCGTCGTGTTCTTCTCCTTCCTTCACTCCTGCAGTTCGCCATTAATACTCACCTGTTTACTTGTTCAGTGTGCATCTGCCCTGTTAGACTGTAAACTCAGGGTCTGTCTCACCGCTGTCTGCTCAGGGCCTAGCAGAGTACGTGGCTCATAGAAGGTGCCGAGGAAGGAGTTGATGACTCAGTGAGTGAAGATCGGAAATAAGTGCTCAGTGTGTGGTGATGATTACTGGTGGGGTCGGGGTCAGAGGGGAAGGTATAGCATTGGGTGCTAGAGTAGGTGGGGGGCTTCCGTGAGGCGGTGGGGCTGGGCTCTGCAGAATGTGCAGGATTTGGGTGAGAGTTAGGGAAGAGGGAAGAAGGAGAGGTCATTCTCCTCTGCAGAATTAGAAGGTGAAATTCTGGAAGAAAGATTCTGCCCCTCAGTCTGTGAATAGCCAGATAAACTTGTGACCTTGCCTATTTCAGGACATTAGGCTTTTGGAAAATGGTTTCTACTTGCCTTCTCCTCCCACCCCCACCACATTATCCATAGTTTCCATCCCTCACCCCCGCCTCTTATTGTGCATGCATACACACACACACACACACAGCCTCAAGGGGAGCAGCTAACCCAACCTGGCCAGTAACTATGGGTGTATTTGATGTAGATGCTGGGGAGATGGTCCCAAGAGAAACAGCCATAGGCAGCCCCCTGTGGGTACACTCAGAAGTTGTGAGTGGGGGGAAGATGTGTGGAGGGAGAAGGAGAGGCCCGGGGTAGCCTCTGGACAGAAGCTAGCTTCTTTCTGCTCTCTGAGGTCTCCCGTGGTCCAGCCTGTTTGCCTGGCCAGAACCTGCCTTCTCCAAGCCTTAGTTTTCCAGGTTGAGAATAAGAAAGCATTGCCCTGGTTCTCCCCTCCAGGGGGTCCAGGGTTGGGTCATTCTGCGTGGCCTTTGCTGGCCATCTTCCCTGCACCCTGAATCCTTGGCACAGTCTGGGGCTGCTCTTTCTACGAGACAGGGCAGGAGGAACTGGGCCTGTTGGCTAGAGCAGGAACCTGGGTGGAATATTCTTGGGCGGTGGCTAGCTTCCTGTGGCTAAGCTTCCTGTGGCTGCTGTTTGGGGATGGTCTTCCTCTGCCCTGACCCCACGGGGAGCCCCAGCCACCCCTAACCAGCTGCTTCCTCTCCTCAGGAGCGTCGCTTGATTTTCTCTGAGACAAGCCCACCCGTCCAGCAAAATAGAGTCCCTCAGGGTGACGGTTGATTTCCTGAAGGTGCCCCTTGGCCTGAAGAAGCCGGTGCTGAAGGAGGTGGCTGTGGGGCCCCCCAAAAGGCCCCAGCCTGTGGCCCTGGAGCGCTACAAGGCGCGGCGTTCAGACGCCATGGACACCGAGTCTCAGTACTCGGGCTATTCCTACAAGTCGGGCCACTCCCGCAGCTCCCGCAAGCACAGGTGGGCGAGCAGTGGAGGTGACACAGGTGGCGGAGGGGGGTTGGGGGCCCTTGAGAGGTGGGCAGAGCAGGGGTGGTGGGGTGAGCGTGGCTGCTGAGAAGACCCAGGTCTTCCCTTTGACCTTTTGTGCCTGTTCCCCGGCCTCCTGCTGCAGAGACCGCCGGGACCGACACCGCTCTAAGAGCCGAGATGGGAGCCGTGGGGACAAGTCGGTGACAATCCAGGCTCCTGGGGAGCCCCTGCTGGACAACGAGTCCACGCGAGGGGACGAGCGGGTGAGCATGAGAGAGATGAGATCCAGGCCAGGTGTTTCCAGCTTGAAGTTGGAGGTCCATCAGAGAGGGGAAGGGCCTGGAAACCTGGTGTTTTCGGAGAGAGGCCACATCAGGGAGGGCATTTCGTGTCATACTTCCTTCTGTTTAGTGTCCCAAGGGTGGACCCTGTTTCAGTAGATTTCAGGGAATTTCAGGAGAGATCCTTTTGGAAGCAGCAGCCACTTCCTCATCTCCAGAGAGGTGTGGGCGACCTGGGCTGTGTAATGGGAATTGCCTGCTTCCTCTGGGCAGATGCCAGCCAGTTAGCCTGCTGGGAATCTGGAGTAGGAGGGCTGTGGTGAGTGGGGCCTGGCGGTGTGGGAGCCCTGAGTTTCCCTTGAGCCTTAAGGGCACTCCAGCGCCCTCTGGTGTGGGCCTGTAGGATAGCATTGTCTAGATCTTAGGGAAAGGAGGTGAGGAAGGAATAGAAGGAAAAAGCAGAGGAAGGGGTGAGGCTGGGGGGTTAGGGGTGCCGGAAGAGCGTTTCCCAGGACATGAGTGAGCAGGTTGCTCTTGCTCTAACCTCTGTGGCCTGCTCTGTTCATCTGGCAGGGAGGTCGGTAGGAAGAACAGTCCTGGAATAGGGCAGAGGCAGGATTTGAGATGACTCTGAGGTTGCCCATGTCTCATTCCTCCTGTTCTTTCTTCTTGGGAGCATCTTAGGAGGCTGGTGACTCCCAGCACCTTTTTCCTCACAAGAAATCTCGGTGACTGACCTTGGGCATTTCTGGGTTTGGGGTGCAGGTTGATACCTGAGGGAAATGTTCTTTCTCCCTCTTTCCCAACCCCGTCTTCTCCCTGAGACCTGGCCTCCTGAGTTCTTGAAGTGACTCTGAGATCAGCTCACCTGTTGTAGGGGAGGAGTTCCCAAGCCATTGATCCTTAGAGAGGGTAGGCAGTATGTCTGGGGGTCACACTAGGGTGAGGAGCAGACCCAGTTTCTTGAGCTGAAGGCAGTCAGCGCATCCACTTTCTACAGATCAGACTCTTCTCTCGTCCTTGGGAGAGGAGATTCCTCAACTCTCACCCTGCCAGGCAGTCTCCTACACTCTCCATCCCATGTCTTCATCCTGTAGCCTAAATCCCTGGGTGTCAGAATGTGACTCCATATCCCCAGGCTGTTCAGGAATTAAGGGTGTGGGCACTGACAGCCACTGGTGGTTTGGGGACTCCTCTGTGGGATGGCCTCCAGCCTCTGCAGAGAAACAGCTTGAATGGACCACACTGTGAAGGCCACCTGGGGACCTCAGCCTGTCCACCCTCTTGCCTCTAGGAACAGGCAGCCCCTGAGCTGTGAGCATTTAGATGGCCAAGCAGAGCCAGCCTAGAGTGGCACTAAGCCTGCACCATATCTTGCACACCCTGCGCTAATCATTTACCCTGTCGCCCTCCCTTCCTCCTGGTGTCCTCCTCTCTTCCCCACCCTGCTTTTGTCAGGTCACTCCCTTAATCAGAAGCCTTGAGTGGCTCTCGGTGCCTGGAGGATAGACGCTTGCTGCTAGAGTGGCATTGCAGGTGGCCTGCTCAAGCTCCACCTGGCTGTTCTCGGCCTCACCTGCCTTGCTCAGCTCCTGCTCACGGATCCCCCTCTCTCATAGTCCTCTGGGGGCTTCAGCTCACATCATTCCTGCCCCAGGGTGCTCCCCTTCTAGCTTCTACTGAAATCATGGGATGTTCTGAAAGCTGGAAGGAGCTTAGGGCAGTACTTCTAGAATTCTAATGTTTGAGCAATTCTTGGGGATCTTGTTAAAATGCAGATTCTAGATTAGTAGATGTGGGGTGGGGTCTGCAATTCTGCATTTCTAACAAACTCCCAGGTGATGTCCACACTGCTGGTCCATAGATTACAGGTTACATAGCCAGGCCTTAGAGATCATTTAGTTCAGTGATTCTCAATTTTGGAGGAACATTGGAATCCTCTGGGGAGCTTTTTTTTAAAAGAAGGTTGACACTTTCTTGGGTGGGATCTGGGCATTGGTATTATTTTCCAAGTGCCCTAGGTGATTCTAATTCCTGGCTGTGGCCGGGAACCCCTGATTCAGTCTCTTCTTCATGTCCCCTGCCCGTAAGGGTCAGCTTGTGTTCCCTGGAAGCCTGCCTGCTTTGCCTGGCAAGTCCGACCTCAGATCCCAGTCACTGCCTGAGCAGCTCCCTTGGCATCTATCTTGTGCCCTCTGCCCTGAGGGTTCTCTGTGCACATGCATTTTTTTTCCTGTTTTGCTGACTGGTGTGAAACTCCCCATGGCCCAGGTCTCAGACGTCCCGTCCCTGCAGATGCCAGGCTTGGGGACACAGTGGAGCTCAGGGATATTTTGATGGCTGCATGTTTGTTGATTACCCCCTCTTCTCCTCCCCTCTCCCATGCTTTCCTTTCTGTCTTCCCTCGTCCTTTCTCTTGTTTCCCCTCCTCCTCGTCATATCCTTTCCCCTCACTGCTGTGGCCCCTCCTGCTGTAGGATGACAATTGGGGGGAGACGACAACGGTAGTCACGGGCACCTCAGAGCACAGCATCTCCCACGATGACCTCACGCGCATCGCCAAGGACATGGAGGACAGTGTCCCGCTGGACTGCTCCCGTCACCTGGGGGTGGCGGCGGGGGCCACGCTGGCGTTGCTGTCTTTCCTCACGCCGCTGGCTTTCCTGCTGCTGCCCCCACTGCTGTGGCGGGAGGAGCTGGAGCCATGCGGGACAGCCTGTGAGGGCCTCTTCATCTCTGTGGCCTTCAAGCTGCTCATCCTGCTGCTGGGCAGCTGGGCCCTGTTCTTCCGCCGGCCCAAGGCCTCCCTGCCCCGCGTCTTCGTGCTGCGCGCCCTGCTCATGGTGCTCGTCTTCCTGCTTGTCGTCTCCTACTGGCTCTTCTATGGCGTGCGCATCCTGGATGCCCGGGAGCGCAGCTACCAGGGCGTGGTGCAGTTTGCCGTGTCGCTGGTGGATGCCCTGCTCTTCGTGCACTACCTGGCCGTGGTCCTGCTGGAGCTGCGCCAGCTGCAGCCTCAGTTCACGCTCAAGGTCGTGCGCTCCACCGATGGGGCCAGCCGCTTCTACAACGTCGGTCATCTCAGGTATGAGTGCGTGTGAGCAGGCTGAACGGGCTTGGGGAGGAGGCTGGGGGCACTGCTGGGCAGGAGGGCTGGATGCTGAACCTGGAGGTAACGGGCTAGGAGGGCTGTGTAGGAAGGAGTCGAGTACTTTGCACAGAGCAGGTTTTCAGCAGCATTTGCTACTTGATGGGAGGGTGTGCGTAGGATCCTGGGGCAAGATGAGGTGGGAGTTATGAGTTAGGAGTGAACAGATGATGAGACAGTTAGAGAGCCGGATCTTAGAGAGCGACGGACCAAAGAGGAGAAGGATGTGAACAGGTGCTTTTTGGAATCACTTTTCCAGCTCTTTCTTTGAGGCACAGCCTCTGTGAGCACTCAGTGAGTGGTCACTGAGATGAAGTGGCCAGAGGAGGGACCCCTAGAGGAAGAGATAATGGGGAGAGTTCTTCAGTCCCTCTAAACTTGTGGGCAGGATGCCCCACCCCCCAGGCCACAGAGAGTATCAGTAACTCCTCCTGGTCCTCTGGGGAATCTTGGGGGGATGCTGGAGGGGATGCGGTGACCCTCGGCTGGGGACCCAGGCCCAGTGCCCTTTTCCCCTGGGCTTCAGCAAGGCAGGGAAGCATTAGCAGGCCCAGCCCTGGGGAAGGCTTGGGAGCCTGGTAAGTAGAGCTCAGGCCCTGAGCCAGGGTACTTGGAAGCAGCTTGTCCCCGTCCTGTGTCCTTTCCTGCCCTGCCAACCTGCCCTGATGTGTCCCTTCCCCTGCGCCCCTTGTCTGTCCCTTCTCCCTCCCCCTCCTGCCGTCTCCCCCACAGCATCCAGCGCGTGGCAGTGTGGATCCTGGAGAAGTATTACCATGACTTCCCTGTCTACAACCCTGCCCTCCTCAACCTGCCCAAGTCCGTCCTGGCCAAGAAAGTGTCTGGCTTCAAGGTGTATTCCCTCGGAGAGGGTGAGCGGCCCTGCTCCTCCACCCTCCTGGTGTCTTCCCAAGCAGGACTCCAAGTTACCCCCTCCCTGTTTCTCACCCTCCTTCCCTCGCTTTCTCCTTTCCCCAGCCCATGTCCCAGCCCCTTCTGTTCTGTCATTTTCCTTGACTCCAGGTGGCTGGTCTTAGCTGCTGATTCTACTTGCTCTCCCTTTATGCTATGTTGTGTCCCCCAATCTGGCTTCTCTGTGTCAGCATCCCTGGTCCTAAGCCCTTGGCTCTGTGAGCTCCAGAGCCTCCTGCACTGGGTGGACCATCTGCGGGACTCCTGCACTCTGGTGTCCTCCTTGTTGCTTTCCTTTGGGCCTCCCCCAGAAACGGCCAGGAGGGTTGGGAATGGGAGGTATTGTTGCGGGGTGGGCACAGCTTCCTCTGCTCATGTCAGGTTGCTGTCTCCAGACTTCCTGGAGTGGGAAGCGAGGCCATGCCCCGAAGTGACCATCCCGTCTCTCTCCTGCTCCTGTGCAGAAAACAGCACCAACAACTCCACGGGCCAGTCACGGGCTGTGATTGCAGCAGCGGCTCGGAGGCGGGACAACAGCCACAACGAGTACTACTACGAGGAGGCTGAGCACGAGCGGAGGGTGCGCAAGCGGAGGGCCAGGTGGGTCCCTGGGGGAGGAGGGGTGTGCCTGGCGGGGGTGCTGTTGGGTGTGGATAGGCTGGGGAGAGCAAGGCCCATGGGCTTCTGTAACTGCTGGCAGTAGACGAGCAGTGATGATATGGGTGGGGGTGTGCATTTGTTTTCTGTTGCTACTGTAAAGATGAGCATAAACTCAGTGCTATAGGACAACACATGTCTATTATCTCACAGTCCTGTGGGTTGGGCGCAGGTTGGAGCTAGACCCTCCAGGTCTAATGGGGAGAAATCAAGGTGACTTCCATCCAAGCTCACTGGTTGTTGGCAGAATCAGTTCCTTGTCACCTGGTCCCACTGGCAGTTCACACACGGCAGTTCGCTTTTTCCTTGAGGCCAGCAGGAGCAGGTCTCTCTGACTTCTGCCACCAGCCGGAGAAAACTGCTTTTAGAGGACTCATGTGATGAGATGAGGCCTGCCTGGATAATCTCCTTATTTTAAAGTCAACTGACTTGGCACTTTAATTGTATCTTCAAAAGGTACTGATTATTGAATGACCAGGGGATGGAAGTCTGGTGGAGGTGGACGTCCTACCAGTAGATCTGTGAGGCTTGCTCAGCAGATGGTACAATTTTACCTGCAGAAAATGAGGTTCTAGTGCCCATATTTTGGTAAATTCTTAAATGCTGTTCTCACGCCTTCCTTTTTCCCGTTCACATTATTATGCGAACTTCAGTCCTGCCCGAAGAATCTTTCTTGGTGACTACTGCTGCCACGTCCCACCTTGGTCTGTCGGGATTTCCACGGAGGGGGAGGAGAGGGCCTTGGGACTCGACCATCCACCCTGCCCTCTGCCCCTCCTCCCACACCATCTCTGGGCTTCCAGGGAGGAAGGCAGCCCTCTCTGTTCTTATACGAGGCTGGCGCCTCCTGCAGTAGATCAGAGATCACGACCCCATTTCTGTGACATTCTAGCATGTCTCCAGTGGTCTCAGAAATGATGAGCCAACTTCCTGATGGGAAGGAAACCAGAGATGTCCCCGACCCCCTTTACCTTCTGCCCTACCGAAGGGTCTTTGGATCTCCTGTGCTATCACCACCATTCTTGGCCCATAGGGGACCTTTTCCTTCCCCCATACCTTGATTGTAACTGGGAGTCCCTTGGTTCACCTGAGACAAAAGAATCTTTTCAAAAGGAACTTTGCCGAGACACTCGAGGGCCGGGGGGAGAGCAAAAGAATAAACAGAGAAACTGTAGACATACGCAGATCCACACATTTACTTAGCCCAGAATCCCATCCTAAGCTCCTCGAAGTTCCCAGGTTCCTGGGTTTCCAGATGTGGTGTTGGTTTGTGTGTCTCTGTGCTTTTAACATGAACTGGCTGCTTTTTCCTGCTTCTTCCTTAACTCTTATGTTTTTGAGGTTCGCCCATGTTGTCTGTCCCAATCCAGCGTGTTACATCTTACCACTGCATAGTAGTTCATAGAGTGCTCCTACCGTCCTAACCAGTATTTGGAGTATAGTCACCTTCCCAATTTTTCCCATTTTGATGGATAAGTAGTATCTTATTAACATTTTATTTCTCTCTCTAATTACTAGCAAGTGACGACTTCATATATTTTTCAGCCTTTCAGGCCTCTTGTGAATTGTGTGTTCACCTCCTTTGCCCATTTTTCTATAGTGTTCTTGCCTTTTTCTTCTTGATTTGTAGCAGATTCTTTGCATATTCCTCCCTTCCCCCAACAGATGTTAGTTAATGTTGCCCATGCTGTCAGGGTTGAGTAGAAATCTGTCATTTCATGTAGTTATATCTATTAACTGTCCACCTGGTGAAGTGTGATTTGGGGGTCTTATTTCAGAAGGCTTTTCCTAGGGTTTGACGTAGTGCTTGTCTTTCCCATAGCACAGTTCCTAGTTGTCTCTCTGGGTTTGACGCTGGATTGTTCTCTGTGAGTCCCTGGACTTGGCTCACCGAGCTCTACAGCTGTTTCCTGTCCCTAGTGGGGGAAAGGTGCCCCCCCTCCAACCACACACATGCACACTCACACATGCACGTGTGAGCAGACACATGCACACAGCCCCCAAAGCCCAGCCATTGGCTCCAGATGGGTTTGTATTGCTTTGGGGAGAGCACAAAGGCCTGACCTCACTCAGGCTGCTGGAGGGCCAGAGCCAGGGGGAGAGGAGAAGTGGGTGCCTAGTCCAGACCTCTCCTGTCCTGCAGGCTTGTGGTGGCGGTGGAGGAGGCCTTCACTCACATTAAGCGGCTGCAGGAGGAGGAGCAGAAGAACCCCAGGGAGGTAATGGACCCCCGGGAGGCAGCCCAGGCCATCTTCGCATCCATGGCCCGGGCCATGCAGAAGTACCTCCGGACCACCAAGCAGCAGCCTTACCACACCATGGAGAGCATCCTGCAGCACCTTGAATTCTGCATCACGCATGACATGACGCCCAAGGTAGGCTCGCTCTGCTCCTAGCATCCTTCCTCTTTCCCCAGGTCTGGCCCCTTCTTTTCACCTTCCTTCTCCCAAATTCTCTTACTTCTGTCCTTACCCTCCATCCATCCCTCTGTCTCCTCTCCAATTCCCTGTAGTCTCTTCTCTCATCCCTAACCCATCCACCCCATCTCTGCATGTTCTTAGGTGGTGTGGAGAACGGGGAGCTTCAGGACTATTTTGGGAATGGCTGAGACCTATTTCTCATCTCTAGAATTTCCAGATCCCAAGCCCCACCTTTTACCCCCTTCACCTCCACCAGGTGTTCTTTGCTCTGTGCTCTTTTCGAGCCATTACCCTCCCTCAACTCTATCACCAGCTTCCTAGAATTGCTTCCCCTGAGCCATCCTTGGTGACTGAAGGACTGAAGATGTTGCACTTGAACCATGACTCCTCTAGCTTTCTGCTGGTGCAGACCCGCTCTGCGCCAACCGTGTAAGCTGTATGGAGAGGAAGGAAGAAAGAGGGGGGCTTGCCCCGGTCACCGCATGGCGCAGGAGGAAGAGCAGAGGATGAGGGGTCAGGAGAGCTGTGCTCCAGTCCCAGCCCTGCTGAGCCACCTCACCTCTGGGGGCTCTCGCTTCCTCATTTATAAAACAAGTGTTGGAGGCAGATGATCTCAGGCCCCTTCCTGCTCTGACATTCTAAGATCGTATGCAGACATCTTGGTTGTCTTTGGAAGTGGTGCCCCTGGAGGATGAAGGATGGCACGTGGGTGGGAGAGATGCCTACACAGCCCCTTCTCCCCTCCCCAGGCCTTCCTGGAGCGATACCTGGCAGCCGGACCCACCATCCAGTACCACAAGGAACGCTGGCTGGCCAAACAGTGGACACTGGTGAGCGAGGAGCCGGTGACCAACGGGCTCAAGGATGGCATCGTTTTCCTCTTAAAACGCCAGGACTTCAGCCTGGTGGTCAGCACCAAGAAGGTCCCCTTCTTCAAACTCTCTGAGGAATTTGTGGATCCCAAGTCGCACAAGTTTGTCATGAGGCTGCAGTCCGAGACCTCGGTGTGACTGTGCAACAGCAGGGGCAGTGGGAGACGCGGGGGGCTCCTGAGGGTGGTGGGTGGGAGCTTGGCTCCCAGGCCACATTCCTGCCGCCCTTCTTCCTCTTGCTCTTGGTTTTTTTACTTGAATTAACTTATCCCCCTCCCTGACTCCTCCCCTCTTCCTTATTGACCCCACGGGAACCGGGAGAGACTGTCCTGCCATCAATAGTACCTGAGAAGTTCCCTCTCTTTTTCCTGGAACCCCCTCACTTTTGTAATCACTCCAGGTCCTGCAGGAATCAGTGCCTCTCTCCCTTTTTGCCCTGGTGACAGTCCTTCTGAAAGGGCACAGGGCCCTCCTGAGCCCCCACTCACGAACCCTAGTTCTTGTAGCAGTTCTCTCCAATGGCCCCCGACTGGCTGTCTCTGGGAGGCACAGATGTGACTCCAGAGAGCCACGGTGCCAAACTCCTCCAGCGCAGCAGCTTGCCGCGGCCTCCAGACAGCGGGTGAATCCGCCCCTTTTGCCCACTCACCCTACCTGTAACAAACCCTGAGTTCTGGGACAGCACTCCTGTGTCCTCCCACACAGTCCCAGAGTCATGGGTCTCTCTGCTAGGGTTATTTGTTTCCAGCTGTTAGAGCCTCCTTTCCCCATCCTCATAAATTCAGAGCAAGGGAAGATCCCATCCTTTAAGCCTGACATCTCTCTGTTTCTATTTGTATGGTCTCATGTGACTGCAGGCAAACTGAGGCGGAAACCCTCTCTGACCACTTTTCCTGGGCCTTCAGGGACAGTACCTTTCTGCCACTGGGTCTTCCTAGGCAGCCTCTGAGGGAAGGGCAGGAGAGACCCCTGTGAACATCACTGACCCCTACCCTCTGAACCTGCCCACACCTTCATTCCCGCCTTGGTGGGGGAGGTTTCCCTTCCCAGTGAAGGATGGCATGTAGACTCCTGTACAGATTTAGTGGCTTGCAGACCCTGACCTAACCTCTATTGTTGTCTTAGACAAACGTTTTTCTTTCTTTCAGCAGCCACCCCCAGTCCCGCTGTCTCTTCTCTCAGCTCCGGAGACCTGTTGCCTCATCTCTTTTTGGGGGGGAGCCAGCAGCTCCTCCTCATCCCCTGCCTTAAGTCCACTTCTTTGCCTCAGGGGTCTCTTTTCCTTGGCTGGCCAGGATCCCCTCGTCTTCATTCCCTGCCTGGCTCTCTGGGCTCTGGTCTCCCTCTGTACCAGGTGAGGGACCAGGATCGCTGCCTTTTGTGGGTACTTAGCCCCTCACCTATTTAGCTTCTGTAGTCTTTGCACCCGATATGAATTCTCAAGAGTTTAAGTCTCATTTTGAGCAAAATTTGCTGACCCTCTAATACATATTTTCATTGTAAATTTGAGCCTTTTAATCAGACACCTTTAAATTATGTAATTTTAACCAAGGGGAATAGAACTGGGAAACACCCATATACCTCCAGCCAGGATCCACGTGGAGGATGGTTCTGCTGGCTGGGCTGGAGCTTGCCTCTGGCCCAGTCCTCTAAACAATTCACAATGCCGCTTTGTAGGCCGATCTTTCTCCTGAAAAATTCACTGGCTCTTGCCTTGTGGCGTGCCCCCTGAGATATGATCTCCATTGATCTCTTACCAGGGAGGCGTCCTGTCTGTATAGTGGCAGCCTGGGCATGATGGAGCCTAGTGGTTGGGGTTTTTCCTTCTGTCCTTTCTGAAAAAGCACATCTGTCCACCCACCACTTACTAGAGAAGGGCTCTTCAGCCAGTGTTTACCTTGTCCCACAGGGGTGGGTTGTGGGGCTGACTTAGGCAGGACCTGGAGATCAGCCTTGGGCTGGGGCTGTGGGTTTTGGATAGGCCTGAGTGAAATACATCCTGTCCTGGGGTCCCGGGAAGGTATCTTTTCTTCTCTTCAAAGACCTGGTTTCAGAGGAGTCCCTTCAGGGTCACGTTTCTAAATACCTCACTATCCTGGAGAAGAGGGCCTGGATGGTGATTGGGGTGATTGCCTTTGTGGGCAGGAGTGGGGCGTGGTGTGGTTTGAGGAACGAATTGGGGCGGGGAGAGGGAAAGTATTTCGGATCTTAGTTGCTGCCCTAGGTTAGGGACGGGGGAGTGTTTATTTTAAGAACCTGCCATGTTTTTAATCACTGTGATTTTTTCATTCCTTTTTTTTAAGACAAAAAGAAATTCTTTCCCCCCAAACTCTCTCTCTAAGCACTAAGGGCTGTGACTGAGAATGGTAGTGTTTTGGTCCTTTGCGTCAGAACTGTGGTATCTTTGTCTTCTTTGATTATTATTATTATTATTTTTTAAAATGTCAGGATGGATCGTCAAGTGTATGGCTGTGTTTGTCTTTTGCTTCTCCTATATGGGAAGTTGTCTTCATGCTGTGAACTGCTGTGGGGTGTGCAGCTGACTCAGTCCCTCTGAGCTGTGTCCTCCACTAGGCCTGTCCCATCACGTGCGGGATTTCCTCATTCTTCCCTTGTGGGGGTGTGCCCACCTATTGTCCCCACTGATCCCCCATACCACCGTAGGGGATGCTGTGGGTGGGTCTCTCTAGGGTTCTTTTTTCTATAACTACATGGCATCCTAGTTCGTCCCTGCCATACCTCCTAGGCCTTTCTTTTCATCGCCTTGGACCGCTTGTCCTTCCCTCCACACCAGGACGCTGTGCCTCAGTCCTTCACCTACCTCGCCTCTCTGCCACCATCCCCATTGGTCCCTTTCTCTTAAACTACTCTTCATGCTCTCTGTTTATTCTCGTTTACAGTCATGTGTTGCTTAATGACAGGGATACGTTCTGAGAAATGCGCCATTAGGTATGTACTTACACAAACCTAGATGGTATAGCCTCCTATGCACCTAGGCTATATGGTACTAATCTTATGAGACTACCGTCATTTATGTGGTCCATTGTTGATCAAAACATCGTTATGTGCCTGTGACTGTATTTTCTTTCAGTCTCTCATTTTTTTTCCCCCATCCCCGTCCATTTCAGCCCTTAGTTTTTCCTTCCCCATCCCATCCCAGTATTCCTGTTGTAAACCCTGATACAGTACCTGTGTTGAGATGTTGGGATCCTGGAACCCTCTCATCTGAAATATCCATTTCCTAGAGTTTGTGCTTCTCTCTTTCTCTCTTGGGCCTGGACGAGCTCCCTCGCCCCTCCGTCATGTCTGTCCATCTGTCTGTCATCTGTTTCCTCTGCTCTCCCCACGGGGCAGCGTCTGCTGATGGATTCAGTCTGGTGTGTGATTGTTGTGATGTCTTCTATGTGCGAAAGGAAGGGGCTTTTTGAGTCCCTCCAAGTGAGATTGTAAGTGTAGAATTTTCCACTGTTGGATCTAGATTTTTTTTTTCTTTTTTTTTGGGTTACAGAGCTGAGACCTTGTGCATGCATGTAGAAAATTGTAAAATGTAAATTTTTTTTTAATATATAAAAAGCTTGTTTTTACAGTTTGCAGTGGATCTAAACATTATGGCAATTTTAGGGATTTTTTTTCTTAAACATAGGAACTAAAACTGTAAAAATTTTTTTTATATAAAATAAAGACATTTGACTTTTGTGGGGGCATTCTGTTGTTTTTCTTTTTTTACAGGAGGAGGAGCAGAAGAGAGTCAGGAAAGAGTGGATATGTGCTGCTTGTTAGGAGGTGGCTGGGCTGGTAGGGGGCAGTGTGAGCTCATCGTTACTCCACTGTTCCTTCCTCAGGGTGAATGAAAAAGGAAACTGCTTATTCTGAACCCTGATTCTGAGAAGAGAGAAGCAGGAATGTGAGGACTCACTTAGCCGTTCCCTAGGGTGATTTTCAGGGTAAAGAGGAAGGAAAAATTACTTTCTGGGTAGATCCATAGGAATTTCAGGGAATAGCTGATTTCAACAGTGACAGCTCATCACATTTCATTAAGAAAAATTCGTGAAGCATATCTTTTGTTTCTGAGTATCTTCTTATTTCTACCATTATCTCTCTTATCTTTCAGGCTCTGCACAAAAGAATACTCTAGCAATAGTCATTTATTTAAAATGAAAATGTTCCATTGGTATTGTGCTTGTAATCAAGCACCAGAATCATCACGAGATCAGGGCCTTTGGCTCAGCTCTACCCAAACCCAAGCTTCTCTGTGACTTTGGGCAAAATGCTTAGCACAAAAACAGGCTTCTAAGGTTAAAGACAAACAAATAAGCAAATGTCAGCTTTCCTGGATGGAGTTGACTCATTTGCTGGATTTAGCCTTGCTCTCCCCAGCCCCCTACTTTGCCAGGCTCTGAGGATGCGAAGACAAGAGACTAGGTTCCTGTGCTGGAGGAAGATCCAGTCTACAGGAGGTGACAGACCAAATAACCTGATGAAAGCTGCATGGTGTGTTCACAGGCAGAGCACAGATGAGCCCTGGCTGAATTCCAAGGAGCTCAGGGAGCCTTCCTTCAAGAAATTAAAGAATTTGTTTAAGAATCAAGAGGGATAACACAATCTTCTTGAAGGGAGGGGCTTTATCTGTTTTGTTCACCTAAACATTCCCAGTATCTATACGAGTTCCTCACCTGTAGTTGGCGCTCAATAAAAAAAAACTATTGAAAGAACAATGAATTAAAGGAAGCTAACAGTATAGCTGCCAGCCCTGGTGGTCTAGTGGTTAAACGTTTCTTGGTGAGGGAACCCTACAACCCATCTGTCGGTTGTCATACTGTGGCAGCTGCATGTTGCTGTGATGCTGAAAGCTATGCCACCAGTATTTCAGATACCAGCAAGGTCACCCATGGTGGTAGACAGGTTTCAGTGGAGCTTCCAGACTAAGACAGACTAGGAAGCAGGACCTGGCCACCCGCTTCTGAAGAAATTGGCCATGAAAGTCCTATGAATAGCAGCGGAGCATTGTCTGATACAGCGCCAGAAGGTGAGAGGATGGAGCAAAACACCAGGCAGGGTCCACTCTGCTGAACACAGGGTGGCTAGGAGTTGGAATCCACTCAACGGCATTGACAACAACAACAACAAAAAGCAATACAATAAGGGCATATCAAAGGGATCAGATACTTCACTCAAGTCTTTCTTGTGAAAATAAATTTAAAAAACTCCCTTTGAAACTGCATTCCCCATTCTCATGACTGTCCTTTTTGTGACTATGCTTACAGCTTCACTTGCTGTTTTCAGTTTACCTCACAGCCAACTTTCGCTTAGTGTGATCAAATTTCTACTCTAGCATGCTTCTAAAATTATTGTTGCTCTTAATGGCCAAATATAATAAATACCTTTCAGTATAATAAGCCTTTATTCAGTGCCTTTGATGTTCCCAGCCTGGTACTGAAGTGCTTTGGTTGGTAAAGACAGTGGATATGTTCCCGCCCTCACTGAGCCAACCTTTGTCCTTTTGGAGTCTGTATGTAACCTCATGGACCTCCTCTAACCTTGGCCCAGGAATTCATAGATTTAAGGCCAGGTCTCAGTACTGGATTTATGGGATCATATTTTCTCTTGGGCTTTGCTGAAAGCAAAAGTCATAATCCCAACCATTTGCCACGTAACTGAGGGTATTTAGTTGTTTAGTATTTAGGGGGGTTGGCTGAAAGGGTGTGTTTTCCATGGAAGCACTGCCCATACCACTGAAGACAGGGACTCAGCCTGGTGGATTGTCAGGATCATGCCTGGGACTTCTTGACATTGCTGCCCAGATGTGATGATTTTCCAGCCTTTACCTTTGATGTGTAGCCAAGGAAAAACCTGGGGCTGGGGCCCTTGGTGAGGAGACATCAGAATCTTTAGACCCAGTTCTTAGAGAATCTTTATTAATTCTTTTTTTGGGGTCGGTTCAGTGGCTTCTGCAGAACTGCAAACCAGCTGCTTAAAATATCCCCTGGGTTTTTATATGTTAGTTTAAGCATGTGATAGAAATTTTCTTCCAATTACTGGAAAGGCTGGGGGGGAGGAAGTCAGCCTTTGGAGAACTATGACAGCGTTAGTGCACAAACGATCATGGAACTTGCTAGAGATGTAGTAGATGACCATCCACAGAGTAGAAAGATCTTGGGGAGCATTCATTCCTGTCCAGCTCCCCGGTTTCTCTGTAAGCTGGGAATAGAGTCCATTTCCCTTATTACAAAGGACAGGGCAGACATGATATCCTAGGAACTCATAACAACAAATGCCAAACTTAAGTATGTATGGAACAATGGGAGAAGGTGCTGGTTTAGAGTTGGGAAATCTGGGCAAGGCCTTGACTTCTCTCATTTCATCTCAGCAAGCTTTTGGGGGACACTGTGCTATGCAGTGGGATACAAACATTGTCCCCTCCTCTAGGAGTTCATGGGACTTTGGCTAGTGAAACTGGGAAATTTCATTATTTTGTCACCTGTTGTAGGCCACCCAAAGAAGAAAGCTATTATCTAGAGCTGGTAAGTACCATCGGCAGAGAGAGACTGCAGATGGCACTTGGTGAGTGTGTTGAGCTTGATAGGCAAACTGATGTCACTGCTCAAAAAGAACCATCTATATTCTGATATCCTGTAAGGGGGACCACTTTGGTTGTAAAAAATTAGGAGTATGAGCTTTTCAGTTTTGTCCTGTCCCTGCTGCTTGCTTTTGGGCATCCTTAGCCCATGCAGCTGCTTTACCTAGGGCGAATATGTGGTTAAAAATGAAAGTGTGGATTTTTAGGATTTTTTAGGGTAGTGAAACTACTCTGTATGATACTGTAATTATAGATTCATGTCATCATAAATTTGTCCAGATCCATAGAACGTACAACACCAAGAGTAAAACCTAATGTAAACTATGGACTTTGGGTGACAATGATGTGTCAATGTAGGTTCATCCATTGTAAAAGATGTACCACTGTGGCGGGGGATGATGATACTTGGGGAGGCTATTCGTGTGTTAGGGGTGGGGTGCAAACGGGAACTCTGTACTTTCTGCTCAACCTTGCGTGAACCTAAAACTATTCTGAAAAGTTGTCTGGTGAAAAGGTACAAACTTTTAGTTATAAGATAAATAAGTACTAGGGATGCAAGGTACAACATGATGACTATAGTCAACACTGCTGTATGGTATATTTGAAAGTTGCTAAGAGAGTGGATCTTAAAAGTTCTTATCACAAGGAAAGCATTTTTTTCTTTTTTCTTTTCCTCTTGTACCTATATGAGACTGACACGCTGCTGATGGCACTGAGAGGGCAGCCTGCTTCTTGTACCTATATGAAATGATGGATGCTAACTAAAATTATTGTGGTAATCACTTCACAGTATATGTAGATCAAATCATTATGCTGTACACCTTAAACTTATACAGTGCTATGTGTCATACTTATGCTTAGTATGTCAAACTAAGCATGACCTTAGTTCTAGGCACAGATCTAGTAATAAAAGTAACAGTGTAGGCACTTGCAATTCAGCAAAAAAATTAAAAAAGTGAAAGTGTATGCTGTTTCTCCTGGATCCCTTAACGTGTGTCACTGTGAAGCCTGGAAATCTGATAAAGCCAACTGAAGGGGAAGAGGAGGTTCTGGTGGTCTGTCACCACTGCGACAGGAGAAAATTTGCATGATGGACTTAAATGTGTCAAGAGATACGTGGCTTGCCCCGGTTGTGGTTTTCACTCCTTTTAAGTTCCTGTTAATGTTTTCTTTTCTCATATATGAATGTGGGTGAGGTTGGCTGGGAGAGTTTTTACGGCAGTGAAGAGTGTTATTGAAGGGTGCAAGCTTTCCATTGTAAGATGAATAAGCTTTGGGGTCTGATGTACAGTGTGATGACTGTAGTTAGTAACATTTTGTTGTGTACTTAACGTTTGCGAAGAGAGTTGACCTTAAGCATTCTCCCCACACACACAGATACACATGCAAAATGTTAACTCTGTGAGATGATGAACGAGTGAATTAACTCGATCGTGGTGATCATTTCACAGAGTATACATCTGTTAAATCATCATGTTGTATGCTTTAAATATATAAAATTTTGTCTGTTGTATCATAATAAAGCTGAAAAGGAAAAAACCCCCTGTCGTTAAGGAATGCTTGTCTTCTGCCTGTACCTATGTGCTAACATGGTACCTCTGCACCATCTGTATCAAATTATCATTTATGTGACTCTTAAATAATATGTTGTGAGATGGCCTTTAGGTGAAGAGTTTATGCAAAACCAGTTCAATGGCCCTCTTAACTTATCCAATGAGACATTTTATAATGACATAAAAAAGCCAGGCTGGTGAGACTTTATCACTAAAGGTCACAGAAATTACAGAAGCAGCTTACAATATAAATGACCTTTGGCCATACATTTCTTGCTGACATGACCAACAGAACAGAGGAAATTCAGGAGTTTTACCAAGTTTTGAGAATTTCAGATAAGATGCCTTAAAGTACTTCAGTACTTACATTAATTGTTGTGGTATAGAATGTGGGTATAGAATGCTGTGGGTATGAAATGAAAGTAAACTATTATCATATGTCAATAATTTAGAAATACCTTCTCGGGTTTCCTTGCCAAAGTTGTTAAGATCATTATGCAATCTTCAAGATCATAATGATCATGTGGTTGATGTTATTGGAAGCTGCCTTGTCTGTGTCCAGTGTT